AAAGGATGGCCGGCGATGTACGGTGGCAGATGTAGACGCCCTCTCGCGGGATGGCACGATAAGTTCGCCCCTTTTTATGTTCAACAGTCTGCAGCTGAAGGGTCAGAGATGTTACAGGCAGCTGAGATAGGTCAGGGATGTTACAGGCAGCTGAGAGGGGACAGGGATGTTACAGGCAGCTGAGAGGGGACAGGGATGTTACAGGCAGCTGAGAGGGGACAGGGATGTTACAGGCAGCTGTGATGGGATAGGGATGTTACAGGCAGCTGTGATGGGACAGGGATGTTACAGGCAGCTGTGATGGGATAGGGATGTTACAGGCAGCTGTGATGGGATAGGGGTGTTACATCAACAAACCGTGATCCCAGAGCCAGCCTCACACATCAGCTAAAGGTGCTCCTATAGCCAGCCCCATAGCTATAAGGTGCTCATATGGCCAGCCTAAAATATCAACTAAAGGTGGTCCTATAGCCAGCCTCAAACAACAGCTAAATGTGCTATAACAGCCAACCTAAAATATCAACTAAAGGTGCTCCTATAGCCAGCCTCAAACATCAGCTAAAGGTGCTCTTATAGCCAGCCTCAAACATCAGCTAAAGGTGCTCCTATAGCCAGCCTCAAACATCAATTAAAGATGGTCCTACAGCCAGCCTCAAATATCAACTAAAGGTGGTCCTATAGCCAGCCTCAAACAACAGCTAAATGTGCTATAACAGCCAACCTAAAATATCAACTAAAGGTGCTCCTATAGCCAGCCTCAAACATCAGCTAAAGGTGCTCTTATAGCCAGCCTCAAACATCAGCTAAAGGTGCTCCTATAGCCAGCCTCAAACATCAATTAAAGATGGTCCTACAGCCAGCCTCAAATATCAACTAAAGTTGCTCCTGCAGCCAGATCGGCTAAAGGTGCTCATCAGGTCAGCCTTAACCATCAACCAACCGTGCTCCCAGAGCCAGCCTCAAACATCAACATCTAATGGGGCTCCCCAAGGGGATGAAGACAACGCTATAGTCTGACCAAATGTCGCAATAGGCGATGAATAGAGCAGGTAATGTAGACTGAACTGGCACATAATGATTGATGTGACCTGGTATCCACCTGTGTGGTTTTGTTAGCAACGTGAGACATGAACCATTCCAGGCACCAAACATGGATATTCACACAGACACATGCCAACCACAAGGGGATAGAACATGTGTTAAATACACTGACAGCTTCACAAAAGTTATTTTTCCTAGAAGTAAAAAACAAAAAAAGGGGGTGGAGGGGGAGGCGGAGAGCGAAAATTGGCGGAGAAATTGTAGCAAATAAAAATCAGTAATGTACTCATCTCTTCTGTGTTACTATGTGGTTTACCGCTAGGCTGCAACATCTCCACCTTTCAGCCCAGAACATGGGATTCCAGCCGTGTACAATGATGCTGGTCAGGGCAGCCCAGAACACACACCAGGAAGTGCCGGTCAATACCTGTGAGTTTCATTCTCAGCAAACACAAACTCCCCAGTAGCAAGTCACTACTCCACACAATCCAGCAAACACAAACTCCCCAGTAGCAAGTCACTACTCCACACAATCCAGCAAACACAAACTCCCCAGTAGCAAGTCACTACTCCACACAATCCAGCAAACACAAACTCCCCAGTTGCAAGTCACTACTCCACACAATCCAGCAAACACAAACTCCCCAGTTGCAAGTCACTACTCCACACAATCCAGCAAACACAAACTCCCCAGTTGCAAAGTCACTACTCCACACAATCCAGCAAACACAAACTCCCCAGTTGCAAGTCACTACTCCACACAATCCAGCAAACACAAACTCCCCAGTTGCAAGTCACTACTCCACACAATCCAGCAAACACAAACTCCCCAGTAGCAAGTCACTACTCCACACAATCCAGCAAAACACAAAACTCCCCAGTGCAAGTCACTACTCCACACAATCCAGCAAACACAAACTCCCCAGTTGCAAGTCACTACTCCACACAATCCAGCAAACACAAACTCCCCAGTTTGCAAGTCACTACTCCACACAATCCAGCAAACACAAACTCCCCAGTTGCAAGTCACTACTCCACACAATCCAGCAAACACAAACTCCCCAGTAGCAAGTCACTACTCCACACAATCCAGCAAACACAAACTTCCCAGTAGCAAGTCACTACTACACACAATCCAGCAAACACAAACTCCCCAGTTGCAAGTCACTACTCCACACAATCCAGCAAACACAAACTCCCCAGTTGCAAGTCATTACTCCACACAATCCAGCAAACACAAACTCCCCAGTTGCAAGTCACTACTCCACACAATCCAGCAAACACAAACTCCCCAGTAGCAAGTCATTACTCCACACAATCCAGCAAACACAAACTCCCCAGTTGCAAGTCATTACTCCACACAATCCAGCAAACACAAACTCCCCAGTTGCAAGTCACTACTCCACACAATCCAGCAAACACAAACTCCCCAGTAGCAAGTCATTACTCCACACAATCAGTCAGCAGAGCAGCAAGCAATTATTGATTTAGCCAAAATGCCTGAGAAAAAAAATTAAAAACAGCAAAATTGTTTTCTCTATTGAGACTGCATGTCAGTCCTCCAGGCGACTCGGAGATATCTACGAGACAAGATGGCTAGAGAAATGACCCACCAGCTAAACAGACTCACAGAAAACAATCAAATTGTTCTCCAGTGGATCCCGGCTCACTGCAGCATACCAGGAAATGAGTTAGCAGACAGACACAACACATTGAACAAAGGAGAAACAATGCACCCATCCATTGTCATTATCAGAAACCTAACATTTATCAAGGAAAAATACAAGTAAATGTGGAAAAAAACTAACAGTAAACATCCACAAGACCCCATCAGCAGACTCAACAGAAAGCACCATACAACAATTTTCCGTCTAGGAACAGGACACTGCAGGCTCAACTACCACATGCATAAAATAAAGATTTTACAGTGCCTACAACGTGCCTGTCAAACAGAAGCACAAACACCTGAGCACATTCTGCAGACCTGCCCACTCTACCTGCAACTTTGAAAAGACACCTGGCCTCAAGAGCAAAGTGTGCAGAGCAAGCTATGTGGAACAATGCAGGACCTGCAGCTGACATGCGAGGCAACCCACCTGATAGTCTGATCTGAGCATACGAAACCGAACGCAAACAAGAGTGTGAAGAAAGCAGAAGTCACATACCACACACTTCCACAAGCAACGCACACATGACGTTAACAAGGTGTAAAGAAAGCAGAAGTCACAGACCACACACTTCCACAAGCAATGCACACATGAAGTTAACAAGGTGTGAAGAAAGCAGAAGTCACAGACCAAACTTGCACAAGCAATGCACACATGAAGTTAACAAGGTGTGAAGAAAGCAAAAGTCACAGACCAAACTTGCACAAGCAATGCACACATGAAGTTAACAAGGTGTGAAGAAAGCAGAAGTCACAGACCACACTTGCACAAGCAACGCACACATGAAGTTAACAAGGTGTGAAGAAAGCAGAAGTCACAGACCACACTTGCACAAGCAATGCACACATGAAGTTAACAAGGTAAGGTATGAAGAAAGCAGAAGTCACAGACCACACTTCCACAAGCAACGCACACATGAAGTTAACAAGGTGTGAAGAAAGCAGAAGTCACAGACCACACTTGCACAAGCAATGCACACATGAAGTTAACAAGGCATCACTGGGTGTGGTTTAGACTGGTTTATTAGTGTGGTTATTCAAGATCCGATGATTTGTGTTTCTACTAGACCAGTTTTGTGACAAGAGGTCGCTCAATGTTTGTACTAGACCAGTTTTGTGACAAGAGATCGCTCAATGTTGTACTAGACCAGTTTTGTGACAAGAGGTCGCTCAATGTTTCTACTAGACCAGTTTTGTGACAAGAGGTTGCTCAATGTTTCTACTAGACCAGTTTTGTGACAAGAGGTTGCTCAATGTTTCTACTAGACCAGTTTTGTGACAAGAGATCGCTCAATGTTTGTACTAGACCAGTTTTGTGACAAGAGGTCACTCAATGTTTGTACTAGACCAGTTTTGTGACAAGAGGTCGCTCAATGTTTCTACTAGACCAGTTTTGTGACAAGAGGTCGCTCAATGTTTCTACTAGACCAGTTTTGTGACAAGAGATCGCTCAATGTTTGTACTAGACCAGTTTTGTGACAAGAGGTCACTCAATGTTTGTACTAGACCAGTTTTGTGACAAGAGGTCACTTAATGTTTGTACTAGACCAGTTTTGTGACAAGAGGTCGCTCAATGTTTGTACTAGACCAGTTTTGTTACAAGAGGTCACTCAATGTTTGTACTAGACCAGTTTTGTGACAAGAGGTCGCTCAATGTTTGTACTAGACCAGTTTTGTGACAAGAGGTCACTCAATGTTTGTACTAGACCAGTTTTGGGACAAGAGGTCGCTCAATGTTTGTACTAGACCAGTTTTGTGACAAGAGGTCACTCAATGTTTGTACTAGACCAGTTTTGTGACAAGAGGTCGCTCAATGTTTGTAGTAATAATTGCGTCTTAATATTATGGTGAAAAAGTAAAACTTAAAATCAATTAATTGTGTATGGAAACCGATCATTAAATGTGTTGCAGTAATAGGCTGGCCAGGCTACTGTGTGTCGTGGTCACAAGGAATTAGAATGTGTGACAGCAATAGGCTGGCCAGGCTAGTGTGTGTCGTGGTCACAAGGAATTAGAATGTGTGACAGCAATAGGCTGGCCAGGCTACTGTGTGTCGTGGTCACAAGGAATTAGAATGTGTGACAGCAATAGGCTGGCCAGGCTAGTGTGTGTCGTGGTCACAAGGAATTAGAATGTGTGACAGCAATAGGCTGGTTAGGCTACTGTGTGTCGTGTGTCGTGTGTGGTGTCTGGTGGTCATAAGGAATTAGAATGTGTGGTTCCTGTGGACAAATCAACAACGGCAGCAGATACAATTGATGATGACATCATCACATCAACATCTGGGCAGGTCTTACATCTCTGGCATGAAGCCGGCACCTCCCCCAGGTTTCATCTGTGACTGATACCAAGCTTTAGATATAGAACGTTTCATCTCATCATCACCTTCGTCATACATGTTCTTCAGCATTTTTGTGATTCCGGCACTGGGATCCTCATTGGCATCCAAATTTGGCCTATGAAACAAAACAAAACAAGACATGAAAGAACTAATGTCACACGCTAAATGCGTACATGTAGGAAACACATCCGACCAAGTGTCAAGGATGCACAACTGGCTCCAGTCACACAATGAAAAGAACTACTGGACTTCTATGGTAGAGCAATGAGGCCAATGACAACAGGAGCACCACCATAAGCCAGTCACAGTAACAAGTGGCACTGTCACCACCATAAGCCAGTCACAGTAACAAGTGGAACTACCACCACCATAAGCCAGTCACAGTAACAAGTGGCACTGTCACCACCATAAGCCAGTCACAGTAAAAAGTGGCACTGCAACCACCAACCACAAGTAGCAGAATACATAAGACCAAGATTGACCCGATAGTGCAGTCAGCCTCCTTTGTTTTCTATGAAAACATGGTGACGATCATGAATTGGTGATCAATGACTCCCTGTCGGCCTACCACTTCCTGCCAAATACATTCACACTGGCAGTTCCCAGAACCTGGATGAAACCACAAAACACATGGCCATCTATGCCAGGTGGATGCTAGTGGCGACTTCCACTCACGGAACCTTTGGTGATGTGCAGTGACAGTCCTTTGATGACTCTCTATCCAAGAGACCCTGCCCCCCTGAGGGCTACAGGCAGATGCATCCAAACTGGTGAAGACAATCCAGACAACAGTCTGCTACCTAGTTACATGCTGAGGTACTCCTGATACCTCCTCATCATCTCCCTATACTTGTCAACCCACACAAAGTTACCACAGCAACCTCTCTGGAGCCTAAAAATACCCCATCAACCAGCATGATATACAGCCGCAACATTGCCGAACCCCCACCATACATGGGCCAACACTTAACCGAAAATTCTAGAGAACACTCGTACAGCATTCCAAAGTGCAACTCAAGAGAATAAAATTAAAAAAATACTGCTACTACTGCCACAGAGCAGGTCAGTGAATCCACAGCACTTGCACAACACAGGTCCTAACTGAGACTGAAAGTGCCATGAGCTCATCCCGCCTGCTCACATGGATTTCACAATATTGATATTGACCTGTAAATTTCAAGCCACACATATTTTCCAAGTACCTTACATCTCCATTCTCATTCCATCAACATATAATGAATATTATTGTGCACGCATACTTCATTAACCCTTGGCTACACTCATTGCTTACATACCAAAGAGACTTAAACACACATCATTCTCTCATGTGAGTTTCACACAATTTTTCTAAGTTGACGATGCTGGGACTCAGTCGGCCAGTCATAACGTTGAAATAAACAAGACAAAATGTACCTGTCCTTTTCCTTGGCTTTCTTCTCTCGTTCAGTGACGCTCTGCCAAGTCTTCCCAACTTCTGCCTTCTTCAGCATCACTAGCACATACTCAGACTTTTTCTAAACAGAAGAAACAATTTGTCATGTCTAAAATTATCTTGATACTCCTGCGCCCAAGATAACCTTGATACCATCAATACCTGTACAGATAACCTTGATACCATCAATACCTGTACAGATAGCCTTGATACCATAAATACCTGTACAGATAGCCTTGATATCCAGCACAGCCATATAGATAACCTTGATACCATCAATACCTGTACAGATAGCCTTGATACCATCAATACCTGTACAGATAGCCTTGATACATCAATACCTGTACAGATAACCTTGATACCATCACCATATAGATAACCTTGATACCATCAATACCCGTACAGATAACCTTGATATCCAGCACAGCCATATAGATAACCTTGATACCATTAATACCCATTACAGATAACCTTGATATCCAGCACAGCCATATAGATAACCCTGATACCATCAATACCCGTACAGATAACCTTGATATCCAGCACATCCATATAGATAACATTGATACCATCAACACTTGTATAGATAAGGTGGGGAAAAACAAAACACATGTGTATAAACAAGCCACTGGATTTGGCTCAAAAAGAGCAGGCTGAAATGGTCACTGGCTATTGTAAACTTCACCACGGACACTGGAGCATTATGGTAAGCTGTCTATGGGGGACACTGGAGCATTATGGTCAGCTGTCTATGGGGGAGACTGGAGCATTATGGTCAGCTATCTATGGGGGAGACTAAAGCACTTATGGTCAGCTATCTACGGGGGAGACTGGAGCATTATGGTCAGCTGTCTATGGGAGACACTGGAGCACTTATGGTCAGCTGTCTATGGGGGAAACTGAAGCACTTATGGTCAGCTGTCTATAGGGGAGATTAGAGCAATTATGGTCAGCTGTCTATAGGGGAGACTGGAGCACTTATGGTCAGCTGTCTATAGGGGAGACTGGAGCACTTATGGTCAGCTGTCTAGGGGGAGGACTGGAGCACCTATGGTCAGCTGTCTATGGGGGAGACTGGAGCACCTATGGTGAGTTGTCTATGGGGGAGACTGGAGCACCTATGGTCAGCTGTCTATGGGGGAGACTGGAGCACCTATAGTCAGCTGTCTATGGGGGAGACTGGAGCACCTATGGTGAGTTTTCTATAGAAAATAAATACCTCCCCCCACGACATGTACCAAGGATGTGACAAACTACTGATGTGAGGATGTCATTAGACAACTCAGCAAGTTCATAAACAGAATTAATGTGCAGGATATTTTGTATGGAATGCAACACATCAAATTGTTCATTTACATGGAGCTCTGTGTAGTGTGAACTGCAACATATTAAGCTGTTCACTTACAAGTTGTGTGAGTGACCATGTGTTGGTGTTCATGTATAACAAATCTACAATCCTGTCTGTCAATCTGGGACAGTCCTGTCTGTCAATCTGGGACAATCTTGTCTGTCAATCTAATACACTGTTTCTACTGCAACACTGTTTCCCATGGCTGATCTGCTTATCAATGCCAAACAAAGTGCCACTGACAGCCATTGGTCAGATCTATTCTTAGGCCTGTGAACTCAACATGACATCAAACATAACATGTTCACTGAGGGAAGCAGCAACAACCGGCCTGTGAACTCAACATGACATCAAACATAACATGTTCACTGAGGGAAAGCAGCAACAAAACTGATGCCCCATGGAGGGATACATGGCAGAAAGCTGGAAACAGAAGATGAACGTAGCAAAAACTAAAGAGAGAACCAGCCTGTGAACTCAACAAGACATCAAACATAACATGTTCACTGAGGGAAGCAGCAGCAACCAGCCTGTGAACTCAACAAGACATCAAACATAACATGTTCACTGAGGGAAGCAGCAACAACAGGCCTGTGAACTCAACATGACATCAAACATAACATGTACAAAGGGAAGCATACGTCAATCAACAAGCCAGTTCACAAAGCAGCTGCAACAGGCCTGTGATGCGGTCCCATATTTCACAGACAGCTATAATTTACATTAGCCAATATTTCACAGACAGCTACAAGTGACATGAGCCAATATTTCACAGACAGCTACAACTGACATGAGCCAATATTTCACAGCTGGAAACAGCTACAAAAACTAAAGACATGAGCAAACATTTGGGACAACAACTATCACAGACAGATACAACTGGTACATTAGCCAATATTTCACAGACAGCTACAACTGACATGAGCCAATATTTCACAGACAGCTACAACTGACATGAGCCAATATTTCACAGACAGCTACAACTGACATGAGCCAATATTTCACAGACAGATACAACTGACATGAGCCAATATTTCACAGACAGATACAACTGACATGAGCCAATATTTCACAGACAGCTACAACTGACATGAGCCAATATTTCACAGACAGATACAACTGACATGAGCCAATATTTCACAGACAGATACAACTGACATGAGCCAATATTTCACGAACAGATACAAGTGACATGAGCCAATATTTCACAGACAGCTACAACTGACATGAGCCAATATTTCACAGACAGCTACAACTGACATAATATTTCACAAACAGATAGAAGTGACATGAGCCAATTTTTCACAGACAGCTACAACTGATGGTATTCCAAATGAATGTCTGTAAAAAGCCTTACCTTACAGTAGCAATCAGAGGGAACAATGTCTTCGCACAATCTGGCAATGTGCAACTGGCAGGTTTTCTTAGGGAACTGGACTTTTACTGTCACTGACCTGTGAGGAGAAGAAGACCCATCATCATGAACCATCAACTGTGCTCTCCATATCTGACACTTTACGTACCATCAGATCTCTGACAGTGTCTGAGTTGTATAGGTGTCATACATTAGCATTGCACAAGCCACCACTTGAGCTTTACATAGAGAAATTACCTTTTGTTAATGTAAATGAGCACAAAACATTAGGCCTTACAACTGACAATCATTTAACTTGAAATTCTTATGTTTGTGTCATAACAAAGAAAATACCACAAAATGTTTATCAGCTTTCCAAAATTTGGCACTTCCTGGATACACGAAAAATATCATACACGTCCTAAATCTAAACACATGTTGACTATTGTTCCACAGTTTGGGATGGTTGCGCTAAATCTAACGTTAAAAGACTAAGTTCCTTTCAAACTGCCACTTTACACCTGGTTTCAGATAAAGTCACATCGATAAAAATCTTTTCTATAGTCATATCTAAGACTTCTGCCATTTAGTAAATGTTCAGTTTTTAGCAAGGCTAAATTATTCATTAAATGTTATCTCAAAATACTTCTAACTACCTATTTCAGTTGATTAAATCCCATCCTATAAACAAGTTTAGCATATTCTGCTGCTTATTTATGGAACCATCTTCCACTTGATGTGAACAATTCTCGCTTACAAGTGATTATATGCCATATTAAATGTAGTTTTTAATCCATATTGTATTAGCAGTTTATAATTAAATAAGGTGTGTATGATATGTACACAGAAAATAAAATGAGAAATGCAAAAAATGACCACACACACACACACACACATATATATATATATATATATATATATATATATATATATAATATATATATATATATATATATATATATATATGGATGAGGTCGAGGGTCATGGAGACTCAGGGATGTAGTGGCTAAGACTCTCGGGCAGTGGAGCACACCAGCTGTTACCCCTTGTGAGTCTCTGGGTCTAGCCTTACAGGTGAAAAGGGCGCACTCAGGTGGTAAGTCCTCTGGCCCGGTAAACCTTTCTACAGTCAAGACCGTTGTGTGTGACAGAAAAGGCACATCCTTCATGAGGTGACCCTGTTAACCAAGACCTTGTCATCCTGGGACAAAACACAACAAATCTAGAGAAGACAACCACAATATAAAAATAAAACCAAGCCTAAAGTGGATCTACGTACTGAGAGGCTAAATGGCTGTGGAATAGGTAGTCGTAAACTTAGACGTCTGGTCAGCGGGAGGGGCAGCGCAAGGCGTATGGACCCCATAAAGACATCCATTGCCTCTTCCCTAGCAGGTACCATGCAAACCTGTTGGAGATGACTGCTTGCTTCAACAAGAGCAATTAGACAGCTTCAGTCCCAGAAGAGATGATGCACTGCTACCCGATTCCCCTTCCTAAGCCTGGCGAGAATCATTCAACACTCAGCGGCTTTAGGATCATAACCCAACAAAACACCTTTGGTAAAGTGCTGGAGAAAATAGTGGCGGGTAAGCTACTTTTTGAAACAGAGAAATTTCTTTCTTCTCGAGGATTGGGAAGTTACCGGCCGGCGAAGGGCACATGGTCAAACGCAGCCACTTTTGCCTTTAATACCTTTGAAGGTTTCCAGAACAGACAGATAATGGCACTCGATTTAGAAGACACAACAGAGTCAGATTACAATATCTTGATGAAAGCGCTTAAGGAGAAGGGAGTCTGTCCTTGGTCGGTGAATTCGATAGCAGCAGTTTTGTATACTCGCCAGGTAGCTCTCTTTGGATCTTTTCTCCAGGCCATGCCGGCATGGTGGGTAATGAACAGGCAGACAGATTAGCTGGATCTGCACGACTGGGTGGTGAATTGATATACATGACAAGGCAGATGTAGTCAAAGCCCTTTGGGAACAAGCAACAGAATCAGTAGAGAAAGAAGATTATTATGGCCTGGAGAAAATGAGGCACCTGGGTGTAACCAGAGGGTCTGGCCGGCTGACTACAAGGAAAGGCAAGACGGACATTTAACCAGATTGTGACCAGTGTTATCAGAGTATATATATATAACATACTTTATTGATAAACTACAACTGCTGTGTGAAAGATGGTGCCCCAAAGGGCCTGCGTGGCCAATTGTTGACAATTTGAAAATAAAGTTTGTTTGATGCCTGAGTTTTATAAGTGTCTACTTTCTCAGATGTCTTGAGTTTTATAAGTGTCTACTTTCTCAGATGTCTTGAGTTTTATAAGTGTCTACTTTCTCAGATGTCTTACTGAGTTTCACAAGTGTCTACTTTCTCAGATGTCTTACAGAGTTTCACAAGTGTCTACTTTCTCAGATGTCTTACTGAGTTTCACAAGTGTCTACTTTCTCAGATGTCTTACAGAGTTTCACAAGTGTCTACTTTCTCAGATGTCTTACTGAGTTTCACAAGTGTCTACTTTCTCAGATGTCTTACAGAACAGAGTTTCACAAGTGTCTACTTTCTCAGATGTCTTACAGAGTTTCACAAGTGTCTACTTTCTCAGATGTCTTACAGAGTTTCACAAGTGTCTACTTTCTCTGTCTTACTGAGTTTCACAAGTGTTTACACAGTGTGTAACCTGTGTGACTGCAGATAGCTGAGGCTTTTGTCATTGTAGTTCCGTCTCTGCAGCAATACAATCTTAGCTTTTTCTGTCCCAAGTCTTCATTGACACTGTGCGCTCTTGCATCTTGATAATATCTTGATAAATCTCTGCTCTGTTGCATATCTCCATCATATTCTTTTCGCTCTGTTGTATCCTGACACATCCTGATGTGTCTACTTGTCCGTGTTCTAGCTCTTATGCAAGTATATCTTTATCAGTGACTACAGCCAAGCCTGCCAGGGTCAGTCTCACTCACCTGTTGGTGAAGTCTGCAAGTATGTCGCTCTCGCTGACTACACTCAGGTTTCCCAGGGTGAGGTAAAGCTTCAGGAACTTGTCAGACTGGTCCCAAGCTGCAACAGTTCAAACTCAAACCAGTGATCATCAAACATGTGACTCATCAAACACTATATGATTCATCAAACATGTGACTCATCAAACACTATATGATACATTAGAGACTTTAAGACTATGATTCATCAAACATGTGACTCATCAAACACTATATGATTCATCAAACACAGGATAAATCAAAGACTATATGATTCATCAAACACATGATATATCAAAGACTATATGATTTATCAAACCATGATTTTTCAAAAACTTTATCAAACACATGATTCATTAAACACATATAGTAACAAAAAAACTATGACTCCAACACATGACATACAATAACACATAAAAGATAAACTATGATTCAAATATGAACAACATGCAGTATCAGCTGAGGCAAATGACTTCTTCCTGGTAATTTCTTCACTGGGTTAGCCTCTCCGAGGTTGCGTTGCAGGATACAGGATTTGTATGCCTTCCATCTGCAATTTACTCAACTCAGCAAGTGACAGTTACAAGCATTTGGCTCCAGCCTATAGCAGGAAAAAGAGACATGAGAAATTCTCCACAAGACAAAGGAGTTTCTAGAAATGCAAGCACACACTCATATTTGAGGTCCATCCAAGGAATCGTCACATTCTACACAAAGATGCTCAATACACTTCTGTATACCGGGCCTTTTCTCATTTTGGGGTGAGGCTTGTTTAGAGGAATCAAGTACGCTACTGAAGGACTCCAGTGAATAAGTAACAAGTACACTAAAGGTGTTCCGTGACCCTGGTGGATGCTGATCCATGGAGTCGTGTTTGCTTTACCTGGTGTTTCCCATCCTCCACCACATCTGGTGTTTTCAATTTACCACACCTGCTGTTTCCCACCCTACAAGACACCTGGTGTTTCCCACCCTACAAGACACCTGGTGTTTCCCATCCTTCACCACATCTGGTGTTTCCCATCCTCTGCCACACCTGGTGTTTCCCAGATGTGGTGGAGGATGGGAAACACCAGGTCAGAGGATGGGAAACACTGTGGCAGAGGATGGTGTTCACCAGGTGTCTTGAGGGTGGGAAACACCAGGTGTCTTGTAGGGTGGGAAACACCAGGTGTCAATTTACCACACCTGCTGTTTCCCACCCTACAAGACACCTGGTGTTTCCCACCCTACAAGACACCTGGTGTTTCCCATCCTTCACCACATCTGGTGTTTCCCATCCTCTGCCACACCTGGTGTTTCCCATCCTCTGCCACACCTGGTGTTTCCCATCCTCCACCACATCTGGTGTATCCCATCCTCCACCACATCTGATGTTTCCCATCCTTTTACACATCTGGTGTTTCCCATCCTTTGACACATCTGGTGTTTCCCATCCTTTGCCACATCTGGTGTTTTCCATTCTCTATTACACTTGGTGTTTCCAATCCTCTGCCACATCTGGTGTTTCCCATCCTCTACCACACTTGCTGTTTCCCACCCTACACGACACCTGGTGTTTCCCATCCTCCGCCACATTTGGTGTTTCCCATCCTCCGCCACATCTGGTGTTTCCCATCCTTTGCCACATCTGGTGTTTCCCATCCTTCACCACACCTGGTGTTTCCCATCCTCTGCCACATCTGGTGTTTTCCATCCTTTGCCACATCTGGTGTTTCCCATCCTTGGCCACATCTGGTGTTTTCCATCCTTCACCACACCTGGTATTTCCCATCCTCCACCATACATAATATTAGCAAGAATAATTAAGATTTCTCTCTCAGACTGGCACTTACCGTAGTTGGTAATGTTTTCCTGGTAAATCTGTGTATTGTCCCCAGCACCGGCACCATTGGAAGTTCTGCTTGATGTGGCCTTAGCTCCCTGGGCTGCCTTCTCCAGGCTGAGAATGTCTCGTCGTAGCCGGTCCACTTCCTTGGACAGTAGCTCTTGAACTTTCGGCCGTGTGGCAGACTTGTGAAACTGTTCAACTTCTGCAAGGTCCTGCCTCAGCTGCAGAACAAACAAATAAACTATAACAAAGAATATCTGATACATGTGCACTATGTGACTCTAAAACATGTCATCTGATACATGTGCACTATGTGACTTTAAAACCTGTCATCTGATACATGTACACTATGTGACTTTAAAATCTGTCATCTGATACATGTGCACTATGTGACTCTAAAACATGGCATCCGATATACGTGCACTATGTGACTTTAAAACCTGTCATCTGATACATGTGCACTATGTGACTAAAACCTGTCATCTGATACATGTGCACTATGTGACTTTAAAACCTGTCATCTGATACATGTGCACTATGTGACTTTAAAATCTGTCATCTGATACATGTGCACTATGTGACTTTAAAACCTGTCATCTGATACATGTGCACTATGTGACTAAAACCTGTCATCTGATACATGTGCACTATGTGACTAAAACCTGTCATCTGATACATGTGCACTATGTGACTAAAACCTGTCATCTGATACATGTGCACTATGTGACTTTAAAACCTGTCATCTGATACATGTGCACTATGTGACTTTAAAATCTGTCATCTGATACATGTGCACTATGTTACTCTACAATCTATTATCTGATACACATGCACTATATGAATCCAAAATCTATCATTATATACACATGCACTAAATGACTCTCTGGTGTCCTACACACAGAGTGGCTTGCATTGCTCAATAAACTTGATATAAACTGGTGTCCTGTGCACAGAGTGGCTTGCATTGCTCAATAAACTTGATATAAACTGGTGTCCTGTGCACAGAGTGGCTTGCATTGCTCAATAAACTTGATATAAACTGGTGTCCTACACACAGAGTGGCTTGCATCGCTCAATAAACTTGATATAAACTGGTGTCCTGCACACAGAGTGGCTTGCATTGCTCAATAAACTTGATATAAACTGGTGTCCTGTGCACAGAGTGGCTTGCATTGCTCGATAAACTTGATATAAACTGGTGTCCTGCACACAGAGTGGCTTGCATTGCTCAAAACTTGATATAAACTGGTGTTCTGCACACAGAGTGGCTTGCATTGCTCGATAAACTTGATATAAACTGGTGTCTGAGGATTGCATAGACAAGATTTTATAGCTGTAATGCCACAGACTTTTCTCAGTGTTTGTTCTATCAAGTGCCAGTGCATTTTCCCAACTGCTTCATCAATTTGGACTTGTTTAGTTTTATTTATTTTTCTGTGAGCTACACATTGATGATTCTGTCATACCATTTTAGTTGTTTAAGTCTGTGAGCTACACATTGATGATTCTGTCATAATATTTTAGTTCTTGTCTGTGTATATTGTCTGCAGTTTATGTAATTTGTTTAGTCACAGTCCCTGCCTCTCATCTAAGTTTAGTATTTGTTTCTTCTCAAGATTTCTGAGTGCTCTAGCTAAATTTCCCTTGCTTTCTGTGGGAACATCTGCTCTTATTTCAAACAAGTGCTGGCTTACACTAGTGAACATCTGAAACTGTTATGTATTTCTGATGAGTCAGCTCTAAAACTTATGTCCTCATGTTGATTTTATGAAATTAATAGTATAACTTCTGCTGGATCCACAGTGCCTCATCAAACTCCAAGGTTGATTAACTAGTACAACTGCTGTCAAAAGATTTGGTTCACAAATTGAGTAAAAGATTATATTTTTAGTAAAAGTGAAAAATTCATTTCATTGCTATATTATTATTATGATCTATAAGAGAACTATTCAACTGGCAGCAGCAGGCCAAATTTGGCCCGCAGAGGTCTAGCAAGTGGCCAGCCAATCCTTGTGTTGATGATCTGTCCATCCTGGTACTCGGGTCTCTGGCCCGTGACGTTCACGTTTTCAAAACTGTGGCCCTTGAATAAACCGAGTTAAATAGCTCTGATCTATAAGAAAAAAAAGTTATGCTTCAGTTTAATTGCTGTTTAGGTTCATGTTTATACAAAGCAAGACTAGCACACACTGACACTTGATTTTTGCTGGGAAATGCTATTTTTAATAGTAATCAATCAATCACAAAGTCAGTATAAATAATATGTAGAAAATGGAACGTGATTCAGAGCCCATTTCGCAAGTTATGACTCTTTGAGGGCGGAATGCCATTTAAATGGTGTTTGAATCTGTCACCTGTAAACAGACATTAAAGTGGCTTTTCACAAAGACACTCTAATATTGTTTCGTTTGCGTTTGCTAGGGGAAATGAATTTGTACGACCATGTTTTAACAAACTAAGAATTAGCAAAACTAAGTCTTTTTTGTTTCTAAAGTCTGGTGTGGTCACTGATTTATTTCAAATAATTTAGATGGCTATCTTCCGAATAACGGTTTCAAATTATCGAGGCCGAAAATATACTCTAACAGGGCCTCAGTCATATGTCAACTGCGGACTTCTGCCACGAGTATCGCCCACACCGCTACGCGTGACATGGATTGGGGCTAAACTAGATGGCTGGGACTCACAAGCAAATAAAATGAAGGAAGCTGCAGGAGATGCGGTAGCTGCTGCTTGTGAGTCCAAGCCATCTAGTTTAGCCCCAATCAACGCCGCACGCAGCGGCGTGGGGGATACTCTCGGCGGTAGCCCCCGGAAGTCCGCAATTTACATGTGACTGAGGCCCTGTTATGGTATATTTTCGGCCTCGATAATTTGGGACTGTTATTCAGAAGATAGCCATTTAGATTTTTACGAGATTTGTCTATACCAGATAAGAGAAAAGGTCTAGAACTGTCCATACTGCTCTATCATTGATGAATCTTAGCCAGACAGAGACAACAGTCTCTATATAATGACTGATAGTGCCATTTGGCAAACAGACTGACGCTAATTAGGTTAGGACGAAGACTGAACAAACAGCGTAGCAGCGTGGGGGATACGCTCAGCGGTGAGTTTAATCGGAAGAACACTATCGCTAACCTGCATCGGAGCGCATGGTTTCCCCGCCATGTTTCTATTATCGTGTGCATTGTTGTGTTTCTTGAAATTGTCAACAGACAGTAATCCTAGTTTTGCTGCGATGTGTTCGTCGGAGGAAGTTTGCATTTTACACAAGTCTGAGGCCTTGTTAGGGTATTTGGCCGCCATAATATGGGGACAAAGTTCAGAGGAGAGCCAAAAGTCCGCTAAAATTAACGCTGTGAAAACCCCAGAAAAAAAAAATTTGGGTCCTGAAAGAGTTAATATATTCATTTGTAACTTGAAACAAATGTATTCCCTTGTACAGTTCAGCTTGTGTATTCTCTTGTACAGTCCAGCTGGTAGGGGATTTTTCCTAATTATTTGTGTAGTGCAATCTGTCAACAACTCAACAACATAGCTTTCCACTTCAGTCCTTTGTTTTTATTATATTATTGTGTAACACACACTACTACTAGTACTATAGTATTTCATTATTGTTGTTATACATTTGTAATATTATTGATGTAAGTAACTGCAGACAGTAAATGATATGAACAACACATACTGAACTGTAGTAGTCAGTTTATTGTTGTAGTCACGGCCAGGCCACATGCTCACCACTGACAGACACTCACACAGTACACGACACATGGAGAGGTCCAGTCCTTGTTTCGGTATGTGAAAGTTAAAGTAAAACTGAAAGAGTAAAACAAACCTCGTCTACATTTGCCTGACTCATGGCGTGAACTGGTATAGGCGTGGAAGCCGACAATCGTGTGGTATAACGGTGGACTGGTGGTTGTATGTGCTGTCGAATCTCCCCCACAAACTGGTATCTGGCTGGTACCCGGCCGTCTGTGCCTGGCTCCCTCTCCCTGCAAGTTTCCTGCTCCGAGTTTTTATGTCTCCTCGTCCATACAATACTTCGCTCTTTTACTTTCCTATAAATATATTTTTTTAAATTCAGTTACAACAGACAGCTCGCGGTTTCAAGAATATTAGTGTGCTGCATTTAAAGTAAGTTAATTTATGTAGATATAACTGCGGCTATTACTTGCAGAATTAATTTATTTGATAATATATAGTAAGAATGCGAATACGATGTGTAGCGAAGGCGGCTTGCAGACGACTTGTTTGCTGAATGGAAACTCCGAGTTTGTCCCTGATGGCATCACAGTTGTCAGTCGGTCGGCTACAGAATACAAGTTGTCGAGTTTGTCCCTGATGGCATCACAGTTGTCAGCCGGTCGGCTACAGAATACAAGTTGTCGAGTTTGTCCCTGATGGCATCACAGTTGTCAGCCGGTCGGCTACAGCTACAGAATACAAGTTGTCGAGTTTGTCCCTGATGGCATCACAGTTGTCAGTGGGTCGGCTACAGAATACAAGTCAGGTGGCTTAGTGGTGAGCTAACTCATTTGTCTTACCATACCAGAGTTATGAGTATCTGCTATCTCTGCTGACACGTCCACTATCCGCTACAGAATAGATCGGTGTGTGATTGCGATAGGTTATGTGACTGCTGCTCATACTTGAATGTTATATCTTATCTACATCAACGAAGTAGAAGATGCAGTTTTGTAAGTCACTGAATTGGTGTTTGGGAGAGGTTCTAGAACAGGGCTGCAACACAACTGCTAGACAACCGATAGAAGAATGAAGTAAACAGGCAATTTCAAAAGAGTCGCCAAAGAACATATTCATTGAAGTTATGAAATAGCAACGAAAATAATTCTATGTTTGGGGGTCGCCACAACATGAGGATCTGTATTAAAGGGTCGCCACAACATAAGGATCTGTATTAAAGGGTCGCCACAACATGGGGATCTGTATTAAAGGGTCGCCACGACATGAGGATCTGTATTAAAGGTTCGCCACAACATGAGGATCTGTATTAAAGGGTCACCACAACATGAGGATCTGTATTAAAGGGTCGCCACGACATGAGGATCTGTATTAAAGGGTCACCACGACATGAGGATCTGTATTAAAGGGTCGCCACAACATGAGGATCTGTATTAAAGGGTCGCCACAACATGAGGATCTGTATTAAAGGGTCGCCACAACATGAGGATCTGTATTAAAGGGTCGCAGCATTAGGAAGGTTGAGAGCCAATGTTGTAGAGTCCTAAAACGGACTTGTGTCATTACCAACGAGAGTGAGTTTAATGCAGAGACTTTTCGGTACTCTTCCGAATACCGATCCCAAATTTTTTACTATGTAAAATATCCCTGTGAGAGCCTCAAGAGGTTATGTAGTAAAAACATTTAGGCCATCATCATCAGTTTCCACTTTTGCCGTTATTGCTCGATGGATAGCAATGTTTAGACGTTAAGCTTAGTGCCATGGGAAGAAGTAGTTTTTGATGCATTCAAGCATCGTGAGGAGGAATACATTTGATCCATTGTTTGAGTATTGTGGGGGAGGAGTAGTTGTCAAACCATTAAAGCGTTGTGGGGAGGTTTAGTAGTCAAATCATTAAAGCATTGTGGGGAGGAGTTGTTGTCAAACCATTAAAGCGTTGAGGGAAAAATACTTTTTGATTCATTGTTGACATGACCTGCGACTCTCCTTGTGGGTTCCAGGGCCACATGTTTGAGTGAAAAAAAAAAAAAAAAATCTACTGCCACTTAAAAAGCATGTTGTAAAAGGCGACAAAAAGGAATTTGCTGAAATCGGATGTGTTGGAACAGAAGGAACAGATATCACAGCCTAGCTGTAAACTACAACACAATGTGCCAACCTCTTTTTCAATGGCGAATGCAAAGAAAGAAGATTCCCTACCCGTGACATGACCATTGAGTATTTTTGCCGCCGCTATCGCAGCCTAACTGTAAACCACAACACAACGCACTAAAAAATTTATCACCCGGCGGGGAATTGAACACAGGTCACCCTCGTGACAGGCTGAATACTTAGAACTGTAGAACCAAAGACTCGAGAGTTTGGTTCCCATGAAATTATATATCAACACAGAGCATAGTGCGTAGTGTTACAATTCCTTATTTTTTACTATATAACCTCTTGAGCCCCTGAATGGGATTTGTTAAACAGTGATTAATTTGGGAGCGATATTCTGAAGAGTGCCGACTGTCTATGTTACCCTATAAAAGTACTAAATCCACGGTAGTGAGGCAAACACCTCTTTCTATATTCCTAGCCCTGGTTTAGAGAACAGTATGTAATACTGGTTTTAGAGCCAAACATTGTCAAGAGATGATGATCCAGCACATTACAACATACTGTTCAGGCCTAGCTTGACTATTGTTTCCTCCATAAGTTTTCTTGAACTGTTGTTGGTGATGTTCATACCGGACACACGTATACACTGATGGATCATTAGAGGGAGCAGAAAAACAAAACAGAGCAGCTGTATCAGTCATCGCGCTGCAAGATGGGCTCCCAGTAGAAACGTCACGCGCCTCCTGAAGACTCTCAACAAACTTCAGAGCACAGCAGCATGCAATTATTGTTTCAGCCAAAGTGCTCGAGGAAAGAGAAATTAAAAACAGCAAAATTGTTTTCCTTTGTGACTGCATGTCAGTCCTCCAGGTAACTAAGAGGGATCCACGAGACAACATGGAGATAGAACTGACCCCTCCAGCTAAACAGACTCACAAAAAATAATCAGAATCATTGTCATTACCAGAAAGCCCCCCCCCCCGCCCCCCCACCCTCCCCCCCCCCCCCCCCCCCCCCCCCCCCCCCCCACCCCCCCCCCCCCCCCCCCGCCCCCCCACCCCCCCCCCCCCCACACCCCCCCCCCCCCCCCCCCCCCCCCCACCCGCCCCCCCCCCCCCCCCACCCCCCCCCACCCCCCACCCCCCCCCCCCCCCCCCCCCCCCCCCCCCCCCCCCCCCCCCCCCCACCCCCCCCACCCCCCCCCCCCCCCCCCCACACCCCCCCCCCCCCCCCCCCCCCCCCCCCCCCCCCCCCCCCCCCACCCCCCCCCCCCCCCCCCCCCCCCCCCCCCCCCCACCCCCCCCCCCCCCCCCCCCCCCCCCCCCCCCCCCCCCCCCCCCCCCCCCCCCCCCCCCCCCCACCCCCCCACCCCCACCCCCCCCCCCTCCCAGGGAAATCAGAACATCTATCAAAGGAAATTACAAGGAAATGTGGAAAGAACAAACAAACAGTAAACATCTACAAGACCCCATCAGCAGACTCACTAGAAAGAAAGCAACATTCAACAATTTTCCGTCTATGAACAGGACACTGGAGACTCAGCTACCACATGCATAAAATAAAGATTGTACAGTCCCTACAGTGTGCCAGTCAAACAGGACCACAAACACCTGAACACATTCTCGCACACTCTACCTACAACTTTAAAAAGACACCTGGCCTTAAGAGCAAAGTGTGCAGAGCATGCTATGGGGAAGCATAAATGACCTGCTACTGACATGTGAGTTGATAGAGGCAACCCACCTGATGGTCTGATCTGAGCATACAAAACCAAACACACAGAAGAAGAAGAAGAAGAAGAAGAATACTCGGAGCTACACAATGTGTTTATCTACAGGCAGTTTGCTTTCCTGGTCAAGGCACAGACACAATAAGTCATTGGCTATCACAGTCAACATCCCTGGCTACACTGGGCACTCCCAGACGTTCTCAGTCCTCTGACACAGCAGATACTACCGAGTACCTCTACTGATCGTTACCATAACAAGTTCATTATAAATTCTCCTGTCTTGGTTTGTAGACCGCATAAACATGCTTCACCAGGCTTTACTGCCAGATCACATAATCATGTTATTGTGAGAGATTCATCATTATCTACCAGTCTAGTCTATAAGTTGTTGATGATATCTGCTCTGTACATGCTTTAACCCATTCAACTGGTGTATTACTTGCCAGTCTGTCCGCTTGTTCATTACCTTTCACTCTGACATGCTCAGGCATGTAGACCTAGGTGAGGGATGTCAGTTGGTACTTACAGCTGAGGTTGTCTGCCCGTTCAGAGCGGAGACTGTCTGCTGCAATTCTGAAGCATGTTGATGGAATCTGATCACTGCATAGATGCCTGTTTGTTCTGCTAGCTGCCCATGTGAGCGCTGTGGAGGCAGAAATTATCTCCATGGTCATACTTGATATAATTACCTGGTAGTCATACTTGATATAATTACCTGGTAGTCATACTTGATATAATTACCTGGTAGTCATACTTGATATAATTACCTGGTAGTCATACTTGTTATAATTACCTGGTAGTCATACTTGATATAATTACCTGGTAGCCATACTTGATATAATTACCTGGTAGTCATACTTAATATAATTACCTGGTAGCCATACTTGATATAATTACCTGGTAGTCATACTTGATATAATTACCTGGTAGTCATACTTGTTATAATTACCTGGTAGTCATACTTGATATAATTACCTGGTAGCCATACTTGATATAATTACCTGGTAGTCATACTTAATATAATTACCTGGTAGTCATACTTGATATAATTACCTGGTAGTCATACTTGATATAATTACCTGGTAGTCATACTTGATATAATTACCTGGTAGTCATACTTGATATAATTACCTGGTAGTCATACTTGATATAATTACCTGGTAGTCATACTTGATATAATTACCTGGTAGTCATACTTGATATAATTACCTGGTAGTCATACTTGATATAATTACCTGGTAGTCATACTTGATATAATTACCTGGTAGTCATACTTGATATAATTACCTGGTAGTCATACTTGTTGTAATTACCTGGTAGTCATACTTGATATAATTACCTGGTAGTCATACTTGATGTAATTACCTGGTAGTCATACTTGATATAATTACCTGGTAGTCATACTTGATATAATTACCTGTTAGTCATACTTGATATAATTACCTGTTAGTCATACTTGATATAATTACCTGGTAGTCATACTTGATATAATTACCTGCTAGTCATACTTGATATAATTACCTGCTAGTCATACTTGATATAATTACCTGCTAGTCATACTTGATATAATTACCTGCTATTCATACTTGATATAATTACCTGGTAGTCATACTTGATATAATTACCTGCTAGTTATACTTGAAATAATTACCTGGTAGTCATACTTGATATAATTACCTGCTAGTCATACTTGATATAATTACCTGCTAGTCATACTTGATATAATTACCTGGTAGTCATACTTTATATAATTACCTGCTAGTCATACTTGATATAATTACCTGGTAGTCATACTTGATATAATTACCTGCTAGTCATACTTGATATAATTACCTGGTAGTCATACTTGATATAATTACCTGCTAGTCATACTTGATATAATTACCTGGTAGTCATTCTTGATATAATTACCTGCTAGTCATACTTGATATAATTACCTGGTAGTCATACTTGATATAATTACCTGGTAGTCATACTTGATATAATTACCTGGTAGTCATACTTGATATAATTACCTGGTAGTCATACTTGATATAATTACCTGGTAGTCATACTTGATATAATTACCTGGTAGTCATACTTGTTATAATTACCTGGTAGTCATACTTGATATAATTACCTGGTAGTCATACTTGATGTAATTACCTGGTAGTCATACTTGATGAAATTACCCGATGGTCACATTTGATGTAATTAGTGGTCACACTTGATGTAATTATGGTCACATTTGATGTAATTACCTGGAAGTCATACTTGATGTAATTACCTGGTGATCACATTTGATGTAATTACCTGGTGGTCACATTTGATATAATTACCTGGTAGTTATACTTGATGTAATTACCTAATGGTCACATTTGATGTAATTACCTGGTAGTCATACTTGATGTAATTACCTGATGGTCATATTTGATGTAATTGCCTGGTGGTCACACTTGATGTAATCACCTGATGGTCACATTTGATGTAATTACCTGGTGGTCACATTTGATGTAATTACCCGGAGGTCACATTTGATGTAATTACCTGGTGGTCACATTTGATGTAATTACCTGGTGGTCACATTTGATGTAATTACCTGGTGGTCACATTTGATGTAATTACCTAGTGGTCACATTTGATGTAATTACCAGGTGGTCACATTTGATGTAATTACCTGGTGGTCATACTTGATGTAATTACCTGGTGGTCACATTTGATATAATTACCCGGTGGTCACATTTGATGTAATTACCTGGTGGTCACATTTGATGTAATTACCTGGTGGTCACATTTGATGTAATTACCAGGTGGTCACATTTGATGTAATTACCGGGTGGTCATACTTTTTATAATCACCTGGTTGTCATACTTGATGTTTCATACTTGATGTTATTACCTGGTGGTCACACTTACATTTGATGTTAGTTGTCATACTTGATGTTTCATACTTGATGTTATTACCTGGTGGTCACACTTACATTTGATGTTATTAGTGGTCACACTTGATGTAATTACCTGGTGGTCACACTTGATGTAATTACCAGGTGGTCACATTTGATGTAATTACCTGGTGGTCACACTTGACAAAATTACCTGATGGTCACATTTGATGTAATTACCTGGTGGTCACATTGGATGTAATTACCTTGTGGTCACACTCGATGTAATTACCTGGTGGTCATACTTGATATAATTACCTGGTGGTCACATCTGATGTAATTACCTGGTGGTCACACTTGATGTAATTACCTGGTGGTCACACTTGATGTAATTACCTGGTGGTCACATCTGATGTAATTACCTGGTGGTCACATTTGATGTAATTACCTGGTGGTCACACTTGATGTAATTACCTGGTGGTCACACTTGATGTAATTACCTTGTGGTTACACTTGATGTAATTACCTGGTGGTCACATTTAATGTAATTACCTTGTGGTCACACTTGATATTATTACCAGGTGGTCACATTTGATGTAATTACCTGGTGGTCACATCTGATGTAATTACCTGGTGGTCACATTTGATGTAATTACCTGGTGGTCACACTTGATGTAATTACCTGGTGGTCACATCTGATGTAATTATCTGGTGGTCACACTTGATGTAATTACATGGTGGTTACACTTAATATAATTACCTGGTGGTCACATTTGATGTAATTACCTAGTGGTCACTCTTGATATTATTACCAGGTGGTCACATTTGATGTAATTACCTGGTGGTCACATCTGATGTCATTACCTGGTCGTCACACTTACATTTGATGTTATTAGTCGTCACACTTGATGTAATTACCTGGTGGTCACACTTGATGTAATTACCAGGTGGTCACATTTGATGTAATTACCTGTTGGTCACACTTGACAAAATTACCTGATGGTCACATTTGATGTAATTACCTGGTGGTCACATTTGATGTAATTCCCTGGTGGTCACACTTGATGTAATTACCTGGTGGTCACACTTGATGTAATTACCTGGTGGTCACATTTGATGTAATTACTGAATGGTCACATTTGATGTAATTACCTGGTGGTCACATTTGATGTAATTACCTGGTGGTCACATTTGATGTAATTACCCGGTGGTCATACTTGATGTAATTACTTGGCAAGCTCCACTGTCCTCTGTATACCTATACTGACCTTGACCTGCACAGACCCATCTGTGTAGATGAGGATATCTGCTGGACGTTAAGGCAGATCTATCAGTGCCCTCATTTTGGTATCTACATCAACAGGATTGTGGTTCCTGTTGTACTTCCTGTGTGATAACAACCTTAGAGTGGTTATTTATGTTGACTGGTGTCTCCATCAATTATTTAATGTGACTGAGTTTATCCAAGTGATGCACCTGCTAGATTGTTTTCTGTAGTGTAAAGTGTTGGTTGGTCATCCATTTCTAGACTGTGGATGTGTCCCAGGATCTGTGTTGTGCATGTACATCTATTTGACAGCATTGAGCAGTTCGCTGCTTGTCTCTCAGGCACTCAAAGGAATTATCAACCAGTCTTATTAACCTTTTTTTTTCTGTGTAATGCAACTCCCTCTCTCAAAAGACATTGGAACCTTTTTTTTTTAGAAGAAGTCTCGGGCCATGATCATGGCTCATTGTACGAGTTCTCTGTAGAATCATTGTACGAGTTTTCTGTAGACTCATTGTATGAGTTCTCTGTAGACTCATTGTACGAGTTTTCTGTAGACTCATTGTACGAGTTCTCTGTAGACTCATTGTACGAGTTTTCTGTAGACTCATTGTGCGAGTTTTCTGTAGACTCATTGTATGAGTTTTCTGTAGACTCATTGTGCGAGTTTTCTGTAGACTCATTGTATGAGTTTTCTGTAGACTGAGTACGAATTTTCTGTAGACTCATTTTATGAGTTTTCTGTAGACTCATTGTGTGAGTTCTCTGTAGACTCCTTGTGTGCGTTTTCTGTAGACTCATTGTGCGAGTTCTCTGTAGACTCATTGTGTGAGTTCTCTGTAGACTCATTGTACGAATTCTTTGTAGACTCATTGTACGAGTTCTCTGTAGACTCACTGTATAAGTTCTCTGTAGACTCATTGTACGAGTTCTCAATAGACTTATTGTACAAGTTCACTGTAGACTCATTGTATGAGTTCTTTGTAGACTCATTGTACGAGTTCACTGTAGACTTATTGTATGAGTTCGGTGTAGACTCATTGTACGAGTTCTTTGTAGACTCATTGTACGAGTTCTCTGTAGACTCTTAGTACGAGTTCTTTGTAGACTCATTGTATGAATTCTCTGTAGACTCATTGTAAAAGTTTTTTGTAGACTCATTGTACGAGTTCTCTGTAGACTCTTAGTACGAGTTCTTTGTAGACTCATTGTATGAATTCTCTGTAGACTCATTGTAAAAGTTTTTTGTAGATTCATTGTATGAGTTCTCTGTAGACTCATTGTATGAGTTCTCTAAAGACTCATTGTATGAGTTCTCTGGAAACTCATTGTATGAGTTCTCTGTAGACTCATTGTATGAGTTCTCTAAAGACTCATTGTATGAGTTCTCTGGAAACTCATTGTATGAGTTCTCCGTAGACTTATTGTGCGAGTTCTCTTAGACATTGTAACCCGTACTTTGGTGACCGGCTGATGAATGGCAGAGGTTATCCAGACAGACTGACTTAGGCCTTAAAGCAAAGCCCACAATGTGGACATGTGGCAGGAGTCTTACCCGAGGCTCAATTATAACTAGGTGAGGTACAGAACTCCACAAGGATTTCTGTCTGCAAGAATCAGATTTTGTATAAATGTTGTAGGTTGATCTTCTGTTATTTTGTTTTGTTTTTGTTTTGTTTACAGGGCTTCTTGGACACATTCATAACATATAACCTAATTTGAGACAACTAGGCAGCTAATCTCAATCACAGGAGGTCAGTGGGGCATGGCCTCAATACACAGGACATCAACGGCAAGTGTGACCTCACTACACAGGAGGTCAGTGGGGCATGGCCTCAATACACAGGTCAGTGGGGTGTGACCTTACTACACAGGGGGTCAGTGGCAAGTGTGACCTCACTGGGAGTGAGATGTGCAGACATATTAGTCAGTGATAGTCCTGATGCAACTCCTGGTGGAAACTTGGCAACTTTAGGATTTGAAGCAGAACCTGGAAGTGACACAAGCGTCCATAGAATCGTCTGGTACATCTGACAAAGAATTAAATCACCATGGAAGCCATTAGTAAGAACTCTGGAGCTAGTCAGCAAGTTCTCAAATGTATCATATGTAATCACATCTACAAGAACACAAAAAACCTGGCCAGACACATGTACAAGCATGAGAACCCTGCAGTCTTCACTTGTTCAGACTGTGGCAAGACTTTTCCAACAAAAACGCGTCTAAGTGTTCATGGTCGTGTACATTCCGGTAAACGCCCGTTCATGTGTTCCTACTGCCCACTGTCGTTTGCCTCAGCCTTTCAGCTGAACTTACACCACAGACGGCACACAGGAGAGAAACCCTATACTTGTTCATATTGTGGCAAGCTGTTTAGTTCTTCATCAGGCTTGCAGCAACATGTAAGGACGCACACTCATGAATCCCCATTTTCCTGCAGTCAGTGCAGCAGAAGTTTCAAACAGAGGGAGAAGCTGAAACAACATGAGCGTATTCACACTGGAGTTCGACCGTACATGTGTGACCGGTGTCCGAGTACTTTCCGAGTGAAAAACTCTCTGGCCAGACACTTACGTATACACTCAGGTGAGATGTTTCAGTGCGGGCTGTGTCCCAAAGCATTTGGAGAATTATATTCTTTGAAGAAACACCACAGAAGACGACATGACAAGCTTCAGTTCACCAGCCCTGGAACGGAGTCAGTAACGGAAGACAAGACTGTTTCATGTGAGACTGATTCTCCTGTAGCCAAACACAAGAGAGCCAGCATATCAGATATCAAGAAACAGAAACTTGGTCAGAAACAACAAGTGCAGAGAAAATCTGGTCAAAAAGTCAAGCAAACTGTTGATGCAGAGCTGAACAAAGTCATTGCAGAAAAACTGCACCTGGTCATTGGTCAAGGAGTCCAGCCTGCACTGATTGATGAATATGGCTGGCACAGAATTCCCCTGTCTGCAGCCAGTGACTTGTTGAACAGAAATATGAAACCTGCAGCTAGTGACTTGTTGAACAGAAATATAAAACCTGCAGCCAGTGGCTTGTTGAACAGAAATATGAAACCTGCAGCCAGTGACTTGTTGAACAGAAATATGAAACCTGCAGCTAGTGACTTGTTGAACAGAAATATGAAACCTGCAGCCAGTGACTTGTTGAACAGAAATATGAAACCTGCAGCCAGTGACTTGTTGAACAGAAATATGAAACCTGCAGCCAGTGACAACAACAACGTGGAGTTGTACAATATAAATAAGAAGATAAGGAAACAGCGAGATGACCTCCTTCTACTTCAGGGTCAGAGAAGTTCTTTGAAAGTAGAGAAAGAATTGAAGCAGAAAGGGAGCTTGGTAAGTACTAGAGAAAAATCACCTCATGATTTCTTCTGTGGGATGTCATCAGTTTGTTAGGCAGTTCCTGATGTACCCATCATCAACTGGTAGCAGATTATGTGCACCACATGCTAGACTGAAGCTCCAGTTATTTGAGGACTGACAGAGAGATGTGTAAGGCATCCTGGTACTGGTGTACGGACAGCCAGCATACAGGCTGTACTGTCTGCTTAGATTTCCAGGGGACAATACGTGATAAACATTACATGATACAAAACCTGATCATTTCCAGACTCAGGGTCAGAATATGCGTTTAATAGGGACACCAAATACACAACAAACCACCTGATGTTATTAGTGAATACATAAATACATATTATATCTCTGTATACACAACACAGTTGCACGCGATCCCTGGATACACAATACAGTTGCATGTGATATCCCTGGATACACAGCATAACTGCATGTGATATCCCTGGATACACATCATAACTGCATGTGATATCCCTGGATACACAGCATAACTACATGTGATATCCCTGGATACACAGCATAACTGCATGTGATATCCATGGATACACAGCATAACTGCATGTGATATCCCTGGATACACAGCATAACTACATGTGTTATACCTGGATACACAGAATAACTGCATGTGATATCCCTGGATACACGGCATCACTGCATGTGATTTCCCTGGGTACACGGCATAACTGTATGTGATATCCCCGGATACGCGGCATAACTGTGTGTGATATCCCAGGATACATGGCATAACTGCATGTGATATCCCTGGATACACAGCATAACTACATGTGATATCACTGGATACACAGCATAAATGCTTGTGATATCCCTAGATACACAGCATAACCACTTGTGATATCCCCGGATACACATCATAACTGCATATGATATCCCTGGATACACTGCATAACTGCATGTGATATCCCTGGATACACAGCATAACTGCATGTGATATCCCTGGATACACAGCATAACTACATGTGATATCCCTGGATACACAGCATAACTACATGTGATATCACTGGATACACAGCATAAATGCTTGTGATATCCCTAGATACACAGCATAACCACTTGTGATATCCCCGGATACACATCATAACTGCATATGATATCCCTGGATACACTGCATAACTGCATGTGATATTCGTGGATACACATCATAACTGCATGTGATATCCCTGGATACACAGCATAACTACATGTGATATCCCTGGATACACAGCATAACTGCATGTGATATCCATGGATACACAGCATAACTGCATGTGATATCCCTGGATACACAGCATAACTACATGTGTTATACCTGGATACACAGAATAACAGCATATGATATCCCTGGATACACGGCATCACTGCATGTGATTTCCCTGGGTACACGGCATAACTGTATGTGATATCCCCGGATATATGGCATAACTGTATGTGATATCCATGGATACACAGCATAACTACATGTGATATCCCTGGATACACAGCATAGCTACATGTGATATCCCAGGATACATGGCATAACTGCATGTGATATCCCTGGATACACAGCATAACTACATGTGATATCCCTGGATACACAGCATAAATGCTTGTGATATCCCTAGATACACAGCATAACCACTTGTGATATCCCTGGATACACATCATAACTGCATATGATATCCCTGGATACACTGCATAACTGCATGTGATATCCCTGGATACACAGCATAACTGCATGTGATATCCCTGGATACATGGCATAACTGCATGTGATATTCGTGGATACACATCATAACTGCATATGATATCCCTGGATACACAGCATAACTACATGTGATATCCCTGGATACATGGCATAACTGCATGTGATATCTGTGGATACACAGCATAACTGCATGTGATATCCCTGGATACACAGCATAACTGCATGTAATATCCCTGGATGCATGGCATAACTGCATGTGATATCCCTGGATACACAGCATAACTGCATGTGATATCCCTGGATACACAAAACAACTGGCTGCACAACACACTGGACGGTTGATGTGGCCACCATGACACCAACTGCCTTTAATTGAGTAGACTGGAACTGGTATCCATGTTAGGCAAGGTGGACCTGCCAGCACAGAATGGACTGATTACACAATCAGAAAAGAATGATGTTCATCCTGATGTAGAGGATCAGAACTCTAGCCTCTTCAACAAGAACAGAAAATTGGAGAACTCATGTTCACCCTGGGTGTTTGAAACAGTCCCTTGGTGGTTGAACGACCCGGCCAGGGGGGGGGGGGGGGGGGGGGGGGGGGGGGGGGGGGGTAAATAGACCACCCCGAAAGGTCAATACTAAAAAACTCAAGGAAAAATGAATCCTGGCTTGTGCTACAGAAATGATTATGGCATGATTGTTTATGCCACTGACTGAATAATTCTGACGTGATTGTTTCTACCACTGACTGAATAATTGTGATGCGATTGTTGCAGGCATCAAAAAACATCTTACAGCACAAGCCTGACCAGCGAGGACAACCCACATGTGATCTCCGCAGCAGCAGGAGGGAGATCAGCCGTCCATCCACTATAGAATACTTCTCAACCACCGGTGAGCTGCTGTTGCCACTCCTAGCTATCATCTGTTTATTGGTGGTCTGTTGGCTTGTGTGGTCAATTGGCTTATGTGGTCTATTGGCTGGTGGCTTGTATGGTCTGTTGTCTGGTTGCTTGTGTGGTCTGTTGGTTGGTGGCTTGTTTGGTCTGTTGTCTGGTTGCTTGTGTGATCTGTTGGTTGGTGGCTTGTATGGTCTGTTGACTGGTTGCTTGTGTGGTCTGTTAGCTGGTGGCTTGTTTGATCTGTTGACTGGTGGCTTGTGTGGTCTGTTGACTGGTGGCTTGTGTGGTCTGTTGACTGGTGGCTTGTGTGGTCTGTTGACGGGTGGCTTGTGTGGTCTGTCGACGGGTGGCTTGTGTGGTCTGTTGACTGGTGGCTTGTATGGTCTGTTGACTGGTGGCTTGTGTGGTCTGTTGGCTGATTGCGTGTGTGGTCTGTTGCCTTGTGTGATCTGTTGGCTTGTGTGGTCTGTTGACTGGTTGCTTGTGTGATCTGTTGACTGGTTGCTTGTGTGATCTGTTGACTAGTTGCTTGTGTGATCTGGTGGCTTGTGTGATCTGTTGGTTGGTTGCTTAGGTGGGTCTGTTGGCTGGTTGCTTGGGGGAGTCTGTTGGCTGGTTGCTTGGGGGGGGGGGGTCTGTTGGCTGGTTGCTTAGGGGGTCTGTTGGCTGGTTGCTTAGGGGGTCTGTTGGCTGGTTGCTTAGGGGGTCTGTTGGCTGGTTGTTTAGGGGGTCTGTTGGCTGGTTGCTTAGGGGTCTGTTGGCTGGTTGCTTAGGGGGTCTGTTGGCTGGTTGCTATGTTGGCTGGTTGCTTTGGGGGTCTGTTGGCTGGTTGCTTAGGGGGTCCGTTGGCTGGTTGCTTAGGGGGTCTGTTGGCTGGTAGCTTTGGGGGTCTGTTGGCTGGTTGCTTGGGGGGTCTGTTGGCTGGTTGCTATGTTGGCTGGTTGCTTGGGGGGGGGGGGGTCTGTTGGCTGGTTGCTTAGGGGGGTCTGTTGGCTGGTTGCTTTGGGGGTCTGTTGGCTGGTTGCTTTGGGGGTCTGTTGGCTGGTTGCTTAGGGGGTCTGTTGGCTGGTTGCTTGGGGGGGGGTCTGTTGGCTGGTTGCTTAGGGGGTCTGTTGGCTGGTTGCTTAGGGGGTCTGTTGGCTGGTTGCTTTTGGGGTCTGTTGGCTGGTTGCTTTGGGGGTCTGTTGGCTGGTTGCTTTGGGGGTCTGTTGGCTGGTTGCTTTGGGGGTCTGTTGGCTGGTTGCTTTGGGGGTCTGTTGGCTGGTTGCTTAGAGGGTCTGTTGGCTGGTTGCTTAGGGGGTCTGTTGGCTGGTTGCTATGTTGGCTGGTTGCTTAGGGGGTCTGTTGGCTGGTTGCTTAGGGGGTCTGTTGGCTGGTTGCTTAGGGGTCTGTTGGCTGGTTGCTTTGGGGGTCTGTTGGCTGGTTGCTTTGGGGGGTCTGTTGGCTGGTTGCTTTGGGGGTCTGTTGGCTGGTTGCTTTGGGGGTCTGTTGGCTGGTTGCTTTAGGGTCTGTTGGCTGGTTGCTTTGGGGGTCTGTTGGCTGGTTGCTTAGGGGGTCTGTTGGCTGGTTGCTTTGGGGGTCTGTTGGCTGGTTGCTTTGGGGGTCTGTTGGCTGGTTGCTTTGGGGGTCTGTTGGCTGGTTGCTTTTGGGGTCTGTTGGCTGGTTGCTTTGGGGGTCTGTTGGCTGGTTGCTATGTTGGCTGGTTGCTTAGGGGGTCTGTTGACTGGTTGCTATGTTGGCTGGTTGTTTAG